ACCAAGGGTTGGGGATATACGTGTCGTGCGGCACGCGAGCAGATAGGAGCGGACGAAAGGAGGTCTTAGTCGTAAGAGGCGGGTTCGTAACGTAAGCGTGGTGCCAGACGAAAGTACCAGACTGAAGTGCCAGACTAAAGTACCAGACTAAAGTACCAGACTAAAGTACCAGACTAATTTACGCGGTGCCAGACTAGCGGTATCAGACTAGCGGTACCAGATTAGCGGTGTCAGACTAAAGTACCAGACAAACATACCAGACTAATATACCAGACCAGTGTACCAGACTAATCAGACTAAAGTACCAGACTAAAGTACCAGACTAAAGTGTCAGACTATCTGTACGAGACTAGCTGTACGAGACTGGCGGTACCAGACTGGCGGTACCAGACTGAAGTACCAGATTAGCGGTACCAGACTATCGGTACCAGACTAGCGGTACCAGACTAGCGGTAACAGACTAGCGGTACCAGACTAAAGTATCAGACTAATGTACCAGACTAAGTACTAGACGAAAGTACCAGACTAGCGGTACCAGATTCTCGGTACCAGACTAGCGGTACCAGACTAAAGTACCAGACTAAAGTACCAGACTGGCGGTACCAGACTAAAGTGCCAGGCTAGCGGTACCAGATTAAAGTACCAGACTGGCGGTGCCAGACTAGCGGTACCAGATTAGCGGTACCAGACTAGCGGTACCAGGTTAAAGTACCAGACTAAATTACCAGTTTAAATTGCCAGACTAAAGTACCAGACTAGCGCGGTACCAGATTATAGGTACCAGACAAACGGTACCAGACTAAAGTACCAGACTAGCGGCACCAGGCTAGCGGTACCAGACTAGTGGTGACAGACTAGAGTACCAGACAAAAGTACTAGACTAAAGTACCAGGCTAAAGTACCGGACTGATTTACGCGGTACCAGGCTGGCGGTATCAGACTATCGGTACCAGACTAGCGGTACCAGACTAAAGTACCAGACTAAAGTACCAGACTTACGGTACAAGATTAGCAGTGCCAGACTCAATTACCAGATTAAAGTACCAGACTAAAGTACCAGACTAAGGTAGCGGACTAAAGTACCAGGCTAATGTACCAGACCAGCGTATCAGACGAGTCAGTTTCAAGTACCAGACTTAAGTACCATCTTGATGTACCAGACAAACGTACCAGACAAACCATACTAATGTATCAGACTATTGTGCCAGACTAACCAGATTAATTCATGTACCAGGCTAATGAACCAGATGGTTTCAAAGTGCCAGACCAGCTTAAAGTACCAGACTGGCGGTACCAGACTAAAGTACCAGACTAAAGTACCAGGCTAGCGGTACCAGACTAAAGTACCAGACTGGCGGTACCAGACTAGCGGTACCAGACCAGCGGTACCAGACTAAAGTACCAGACTAGCGGTACCAGACTAAAGTACCAGACTAAAGTACCAGACTAAAGTATCCGACTAAAGTACTAGGCTAGCGGTGCTAGACTAGCTGTACTAGACAAGCGGTGCCAGACTAAAGTACCAGACTAGCGGTACCAGATTTTCGGTACCAGACTAGCGGTACCAGATTAGCGGTACCAGACTCAAGTACCATATTAATGTGCCATATTACTGTACCCCGCAAATTTAGAATATTAATCAGAGGAGTGTACCAGACTTCCGTACCAGACTAATCAGACTACTGTACCAGGCTAAGGTACCAGACTCAAGTACCAGACTAAAGTACAAGACTCACGTACCATGATAAAGTACCAGACTAAAGTACCAGACGGAAGTACCAGACTGATGTAGCAGACTACTCAGACTAACCTTCTTGACTAATGTACCAGACTAATCAGACTAATGTACCAGACTAGATGTACCAGACTCATCAGACTAAAGTACCATACTAAGGTACTCTAGTTTGGTCTGTTAGTCTGGCACTTCAGTTTGTTTAGTCTAGTACTTGAGCCTGGTATAGTAGTCTGGTACTTAAGTCTGGTACTTTAACCTGGTACTTCAGTCTGGTACCGCTCTTATGGTTAAGACCTACTCTCGGAGCGAACAGTCTTAAACTGATTGTTGTTGTTCTGGTTGTTGTGGTTGTTTTTGTTGAGTGACACGTGACCTAGTTGCCCGCCCCCCAGCAAACAGCAACCAGCAACCGAAGGTTCATTTCAGCACACCCCTCTCGAGGATTGTGGCCTTGGCCTCGCAGGAGGCTCCACCGAAGGTTCATTTCGGCACACCCCTCTCGATGACCGTGGCTCTGGCCCCACAGGGAGCTCCACCGAAGCTTCATTTCGGCGCACCACTCTCGAGGATCGTGGCGTTGGCCCCACACGGAGCTCCACCGAAGCTTCATTTCGTCACACCCCTCTCGAGGATCGTGGCCGTGGCCCGACATGGAGCTAAACCGAGGGTTCATTTCGGCACACCTCTCTCGAGGATCGTGGCCCTGGCCCTACAGGGAGTTCCACCGAAGGCTCATGTCAGCACACCCCTCTCGAGGATCGTGACCTTGGCCTCACAGGAGGCTCCACCGAAAGTTCATTTCGGCACATCCCTCTCGAGGATCGTGGCCCTGGCCTCACAGGGGGCTCCTCTGAAGTTTCATTTCGGCACAACCCTCAATGAGGATCGTGGCCCTGGCCCCACAGGAGGCTCCACCGAATCGTCATTTCGGCACACCTCTCTAGGGATGCCATCGGGTCTTAGAAGGATCCGATGTGGTCCCATAGGGATCCTATTTGAATTGTATAGGATCCTAGAACGATCCTGTACGCCCCTATAGGGATCCTATAGGATCCTTATCGGGTCCTTCACGATCCCTATACAATCCCTATACGATTCCCATCGGATCCTACAGGATCGCATGTGAGTATATAATCCTTACACGATCCCCATGATCCTGGATCGCATGGGAGTCTCATATAATCCCTACACGATTCCCACCGGATCCTATAGGATCGCAGGGGGTTCCTATACGATCCTTATACGATTCTTATAGGGCTGTGTACGATTCCTATAGGATCCTATGGGATCGCATGGGATTCCTATACAATCCCTGTACGATTCCTATCGGATCCGATCCGATTCCTATAGGGTCCTATCGGATCGCATGGGGTTTCTATACAATCCCTAAACGATTCCAAACGGCTCCTATCAGAACGTCTGGGCAATTTTAGACAATCCCTATACGATTTCTACAGGATTCGACAGGGTCGCATGGGATTGCCATACAATCCTTCTTATACGATTTCTATAGGATCCTACAGGATCGCATGGGATCCCTATGGAATCCCCGCAGGATCCTAGAGGATCCCCATAGGATCCTATAGGATCCTATAGGATCGCATGGGAGTCCCACGCAATCCCTAGTAGGACCATAGCGTCCAAAACCCGGAGAGCACCAGAGAGCAAAGAGAACACAGACCGGAAAGCTTGCCTGGCGAGCGCTCGGACGCTCTCGTGAAGCGCTTCTGGGGCTCTGGGGGGCTCCCCTGCAGCGCTTCTGCAGAGCTGCCAGGAACGCTTCCACGCGTGCCTGCACGCGTGAAGGCACGCGTGGGCGCTTGCCGGAAGCTCTCCCGGACGGGCTGCGACCCCGGGCGAGGCGCTGCGAGGATCGTGGAGCGGCGGAGATGGGCTGCTGGCGGGCACCACCACCGTCCGGCTTCTATTCTGAAACCTTCTAGCTCTCAGAGAGCTCTCCGGGAATTTCTATAGGATCCTACAGGATCGCAGGGGCTTCCTAGACAATCCCTATACGATTCCCATCGGATCCGACTGGGTCGTATGGGAATCCTACAAATCCCCATGCGAGTCTTACAGAATCCGACAGGGTCGCATGGTATTCCTATACACACCCTATACGGTTCCCATAGTATCCTGCAGGATCGCATGGGATCCTTATAGAATCCCACAGGATCCTAGAGGATCCCTCTAGGATCGCATCGGGCCCCTATAGGATCCCTCTAGGATCGCATCGGATCCTTATAGGATCCTTATGGGGTCCTATAGGATCTCATCGGATTCTTATACAATCCGTATAGGATTTTTATGGGTCTATAGGATCGCATGCGATTCCTATACGATCCCCATACGACTCCTATAATATCCGATTGGGTCGTATGGGAATCCCATACAATCCTTATACGATTCCTATAGGATCCTACAGGATCGCATGGGATCCCTATGGGATCCCCACAGGATCTTAGAGGATCCTATAGGATCCTATAAGATCGCATAGGAATCCTATAGGATCCCTATGGGATTCCTATAGGATCCTGTAGGATTCCTATATCATTCCATCGTATCATATAGGAGCCGATAGATTCCGGAGCTTCGCTGGTGCAGACATGGAAACACTGCATGAAGGAGGGGTTCACACCCTTAAGCAAGCGAAGGTACAGCGGAGCGAGGAATGGAGCCCGAGGTTGTTGGTTGCCGGTTGCTGGGGGCGGGGGTGCTTACCCCGGGGGGCAAGGTCGCGGGTTGTCCTTCAAGGACAAGCATTGACCAAGTTTCCCGGTGAACGGGCAACAAGAGCACGTATCAACTTTGTTGTTGTTGTTGTTGTCGTCGTCGTCGTTGTTGTTGTTGTTGTTGTTGTTCTTGTTCTTGTTCTTGTTGTTGTTGTTGTTGTGGTTGTTGTTGTTGTTGTTGTTGTTGGTGGTGGTATTGTTGTTGTGGTTGTTGTTGTTGTTGCTGTTGTTGTTGTGGTTGTTGTTGTTGTTGTGATTGTTGTTGTTGTTGTTGTTGTTGTTGTTGTTGTTGTTGTTGTTGTTGTTGTTGTTGTTGTTGTTCTTGTTCTTGTTGTTGTTGTTGTTGTTGTTGTTGTGATTGTGCTTGTAGTTGTTCCTGTTGTTGTTGTTGTTGCTGCTGCCCGAAAGCCTCCAACCTCAAACTTCAAAAACCTCCAACTTCGACATCTCGTCCCCCTGACAGCCCCCCTCTGCGGCGCACCCGCGCGAAGGGGGGGGGGTCTCGCTGGGGCCGTCCCGCCGCCGCGCGCGAGGCACGACATGCTGTACGAGGACGCGCGGCGCCGCGAGGGGGCGCGGCAGCTCCAGCGCGACCGCCAGACGGATGAGGACCTCCACCGATCGTCTGCCCGACGGGTCCGTCGTCGTCGTCGTCCCGCGCGCGAGGGATCGCGCTCGGGAGGAGGAGGAGGAAGAGGAGGAGGAGGAGGAGGAGGAGGAGGAGGAGGAGGAGGAGGAGGAGGAGGAGGAGGAGCGGCGGCGAGCGAGGGGGGGGGGAAGTTAGAAGGGGGAGGCCTTCTCAGAAGGCGGCGGGACTTCTCAGAAGCCCCCGCGCCTTGTGAGAAGTTTCCATGTCGTCGGGGAGGGCTTAGCAAGCTTCTCAAAAGGCCGGGGGACTTCCGAGTCCTCTGAGAAGGCCCGCCCCTTCTCACTTCCCCCCCGGGCTTGCCGCCGAGAGGAGGAGGTCGAGGATGGACGGAGGGGTGGAAGAGGGGAAGGGGGCGAGGAGGGAGGGAGAGGAAACCCACGGGAGGAGGGGAAGAGGTGGAGGAGGGAGGTACGGAGCAGGGGGGAGGAACAGGAGGAGGAGGAGGAGAAAGAGGAGGAGGAGGAAGAGGGATTACCAGTGTAATCTCCAGACGCATCCACGACATTGCAATAAACCCTCCCTTCATATTCCCTCTTCATAGATCTCTACAGCATGTAAGTCAATTATGCCAATTTGCCATTCCTGGGATGTCGAAGCCGCGAATCAGCGTGACTGTTGCGTCCTGACAATTCTAAGTAGCATCAGATCGCCATTTTTGGAATATCAGCACCGCATCAACGTGACAGTTGCATCCGGACGCTCTCAAGTCGTGCCAGGACAATATTCCAGGGACTTCAACCAATCGATCCCTTGAAGTGCTGCATGAGTTTAAAACAGATGTGCGCATCGCTAGGGCAAGAGCCACACTTTGAAAGCCAGCCGCCCTCCATCCTCGAAGCTGTGGCAGGACAAGAAGGACGAATGTGCGCGGCGCGAGGACGAGAGCCACATTTGGAAAACCAGCCGCCCTCCATGCTTCAAGCTGTTGCAAAAAGAGGCAAGACGAATGTGCTCAGCGTTCAGGCGAGAACCACGCTTCGAAAACAAGCCTTCCACCCTCCTCGTAGCCCCCTGTGCGCGCCGCCAACCTTCTCTTTCGACGTGGCAGTTTTGTGGTGACGTGGGCCCTGGGCATCTCGACCATTGCCGGGACCAGCTTCTCATCCAGAGTCGTCTTTTGACGGTCCCAGGGCTGGGGAGCGGCTCTAGAGGCCGAGAACGTCGAATAAACAATCGTCACGCCTTTGTCTGTTTTCTTTGTTTTGTGTGTGCGTGTTTTTGTTTAGTGTTGTCTTTTCTTCTTGTTTAGTGTTGCCTTCCCTTTGTGTTACTATTATCATTTTTCATTCGTCTTCTTCTTCTCCTTCTCCTTCTTTTTCTCCAATCTCGCTGCACCCTTCACGAGGAGCGTGACCGGCTGTGGACGCCGGGCCTCCAGCCAGGGGCCGCCACCAGTGCCCCCGTCCGCCAGTCGGCGCCCAGGACCAGACCGCCACCGTCGCCGCCGTCCACCGCCGCCGCCGCCATCGCCGTCGCCGTCGCAGCTGTCGCCTCGTCGTCGTCGTCGTCGTCGAGCAAGGATCATGTATGTAAGGTCAAAGGTAGCAGGCGTTCTTGTGGTTGCCTTCTTTCGGCCTATGTGGCCGTCGGTCGCCGCCGCCGCCGTCGCCGCCGCCGCCGTGGCTGTCGCCGCCGCCGCCGCCGCCATCGTCGTCGTCGTCGTCGCCGTCGTCGTCGTCGTCGTCGTCGTCGTCGTCGTCGTCGTCGTCGTCGTCGTCGTCGTCCTCGTCGTCGTCGTCGTCGTCGTCGTCGTCGTCGTCGTCGTCGTCCTCGTCGTGGTCGTCGTCGTTCGAATGTTCGGGTGGTGCATTGCTTTGTTGACAGTGCCCAAACAGTGCTTGCACTTCGGGTTTCTTATGGCGCTTGCAAGGTGCCTGGGCCTCAAGTGGCGGTCCGGCTGGCGTGTGGCCGCCCGTCGCCGCCGTCCGTCGCCGCCGTCCGTCGCCGCTTGTAACTCAACTCCGGTGGCGGTCCGGCCAGCTTGTGGCCGCCCGCCGCCGCCGTCCGTCGCCGCCGTTTGCTCTGCATAGCTTTGCTTTGCATTGCTTTGCATTGCTGTGCATTACTTTGCCTAACTTTGCATTGCTTTGCATTGTTTTGCGCTGCTTTGCGGTGCTTTACATCGCATTGCATCGCATTGCATCGCATTGCATGCAGTGCGCTGATGTACCGCGGCAGCAACGTCCAATCTGGCTTTGAATTCTACGAGTCCACCGGCACCGCTCTCAACATCTGGGACATCACAAGGAGTAACCATGCTCGTACCTTACGATGCTTGACTCGTCCAGTCCTTCGACGAGAAGTTCACTCGATTCCGTGACTTAGCATAGCAGACGGTCCTCAGGATGGTGGTGACCGCGGAAACGCGAACCACCCAGAAACGCCAATGGCGTCATAACGAAGGGACGGACGTCTATTTACAAGCGAAGGAAGCGAGGACGGACAACAGAAAAACACCATAATCCTACACGCCTGGTACCAGAAACGCATGGACACCGAGTACCAGTACCTGGATTCGACCTCCATTCGATCCCCAGTCTTATAAAGCCAGCTAACGCTGTGCGTCTGCCGTATGGTCATGCAAGCAACAAGCTTGAACAGGACCTCATTGAGCTACCTGGCCATGCACAAAGTGACGTCTTGTTTTCCTACCGGCGCTCTGGAAGTTCCATGATGACCATAACATGGTGCACAGATGGTGCATAACATGGTGCATATAATTTCGATGATGACAAGGGCGGCCGATTCGCCAAACAATGTCTCGCTGAGTACATGGCCAGGATAGTCTTAAAGGAGTCACAACTCGAAACTTCTCGGTCTCGTGAGGGCGCCGCCATCAGCATGTATGCTCCGGGTCAAGTCAAACCTTCTGTCGTCGTCAAAGAGGATGATATGTTCACCAAGCGGGTATCATCAACAACTCGAAGCAAGTGGCCTCGGCACTCCTGGTGGAGCTTGAGACTTGGTTGGGCAATCGATGCTTATCGAAGGGGTCGCAATCCAAATGTTCAAACGCCACGAGTTCGAGGCGCGTGTACACATGGAAGTTTGTCAAAACCGACTTGGGGACCATGGGGACAATCATATAGTTTCGCTTTGTACCGCGCGGCTTCATTGATCAAGAATTGAGCTGCCTCGATACGCCCGCTTTATTACGCAGCTCGTACCGTGCCCAAAACGTGTGTGTCAATACGTTGCGTGCTGGTTCAACGGATTGGCCCACGTTTTGGCGAACGTGTCGCGTCAGACCTACGTTGTCAGTCCACGTGTTGAGCTCCGTATCAATACGCTACGTGTTGCGTATTCCGTATCTGCGCAGTTATGATCAAACGGTTTTTTCCGTGGGAACCTTCAGGGGAACAGCCCGACGCACATCCCAGCGCCCCTGGGCTAGTGAAGCTGCAGTCCGTCAAGATCGGATCATCGCTAATCTCGATGTGAATACGGCCTTTTCTCGAGGGCCTTACATGCAAAGCGCTGGCTGACGTCGCGGGATTACAAGGAATTGAGGACGATGATGGATTCAGACACTGCTTGAAGTGCCCCAAACCCGGTAACGGCACCAAGGATGCTCTTCGGGGAATGATGTATGGTACAAGCCGAATAAGACCGTGGACAGCGTTGGCGTCGAGCGCATGTCCTACGACTCCGACTTCGAGGCTACCAAGGACCTGCCCGCAGCCAAACATGTGGATGATATCAACACGTGTAGAAAGGAACTGTGTATCTACGACTACGTGAAACTGGTGGAACAGGTATTCGGCATGAGCACGCGCGCCTGTGCGAACTGTGCGTTTCGCTGCGCCCGGACTGAAAATGGGGACATGGTCGTGTTGACCAGGACGAATATGTCAAGCAGCTTCGCCCCATTGCCCATCTTGATATTGTCCGAACTTCGCGTCGTGCGGAGGCCAGGGATTTTGTCAACGACGTGTTTGTCAGCCTTCGTGGAGCTCTCCCATGCCCCGCTCTCGCAGGATTCTGGCTTGCGGTGCGCGTTGTTCTATTGTGGCGTATTCAGGAACCTAGCAACGCACGCGCGAGGCGCTTTTGTGTCCCTGCCCGCGAGCTTCTGCAGGGGCCCGAGCGGATCGCCCATCGAGCTATGGTCTCTGATGACACCGTGGACCAGCAAAGCGATTCCGGGTGCAGGAAGCTCACCCGCGAGGAAGACGAGACCAAGCGATGCGGCTTCGAACTGAGGCAACCTGCTGCGTCGCGGAAAACACGAGCAGCAGGGGCGGAGTTGCACATTGCATCGACAGCCTCTGTAAATCTCATCGCCTGCAGGTCGGGCCCAGTCGCGCTGCTGAGGCGCTGGCTGCTGCCCGCAGTCTTAACGAAAACTACCTTGCAATGGTGGCGTTGCGCGAGCTCATCAAGGCGCTAACGAGCCCTTCCGAGCTCGCATGCCTTCGTGAATACGGAGAGCTATGTATTCAGGTGTCCCTCGCGATTGATGGTGAATCGGCGTGCAAATCTTCTTTCATCACGGACCTTAAGACACCTGCTGAACATATTTTTTTGAACGTACCAGTTGGTTGCGAGAGTTCGTGGGCCTCGGCGTCGCCGGCAATGTTCGCTGGCACGGCGCCCGCGATGCGACGGCGGAAGGTCGCAAAAAAGGCGCCATTGAACGAGGCCTACTTCTGCAAGTCATGACTGGTTATCAGAGCTACAATGAAGAGGTGGAGGCTGATGCTCCGCATCGAGGCGACGAACCTCCCATCGCCAATAAGTGGCCTCTGCGTCTGCTCGTGCGCCTCCGCAGACCCCAGAGGTCTGGTGGACTGCATTTTCATAGCTGCACTGTGCGTAAAGACTGGGGGCCCTCTTGCCGGCCCCACGCGGGGCGTTCGCGGGCTCGCGACTGCTCCTCGATGGCGCGGACTCGCGCCCGCGTTCGCACTGCGTCGCAGGATTGTTGCCGCTCTTTTCAGTCTTAGCCAGACCGAGTTGGGGCCGGCCTTAGCCAGTCACCTTGTGGGCTCTCAGGACCGACTCTGGTCCGTCTTGCTTAAGCTGTAGATTTCGAGCTTGCCTCTGCCCGCTGGGTCCAAGTGCGAAGCTATCGGCTTCGCGGCAACGCGACTCCGATATGCGGCGCCCTCGTCTTGATGCGATGTGTTTGTGGTCGATGTTTTCGACGACCGATCTCTTTTACGTATGGAAATGCTTCCTTGAGCAAACGTTGCAAGGCGGCGACGGCCGAGCCTCGCCCCCCCCGCCGATTTTGCGGGGCGCCCCGAGAAGGGATGTATGTTTTGCGTAGCTCGTGCCGCCGCCGCCTTGGCTCAAGGCGGCGTCGCCCCATTGCTTGGGCTAGCAAAGGTCCGCAATTTGCGGCGGGGAGTGAGAACGAGGCAACTATTTTATCTCGCCGCCATCCCCGCTATTGTAACCTCGTGCCCTTTGCATTCTTCGCCTCGCATTGCGCGATGGCGAACCCCTTTTCGACTTCCTGGGGCTCCCAGGGGCCCGCCAGGGATTTCTTGAGGCCGTCTTGGCATACTCGTGGGTCATTATGGGGCTCTTTTGGGCCGTCTTGGGACAATCTAAGACGCCTGTAAGGCCGCGCGAAAGTGAAGGGAACGGATAGGTGAAGATGGCCGAGTCTTTCGAAAACCCTAAGAAGATCAACGCTTAATTCGGCTTTTTCGGTCCCTTCTGGGGTCCTTCTTGTTTCCCTCTTGGGCCGATTTAATGGCCTCGTGGGCCGTCTCAAAACCATCTTGGGCTGTCAGACAGCTATTTTGGGCCGTCTTGGAGGCATCTTGTGCCATCATGGCGGCCGTGGTTGCCGTCCCCTGCCGTCTTGGAAGGTCTGGATCGCGGATCCAGGGATCCCACCAGGGATAATGATGTCTGAGGCGCGGATCCATAGCTTTCTACTCGGGGTCGTGGCTTCCAGAGCGTGGTGCCATTGTTGTTAATATGGGTCGTGGCCTGGAGAGCGCGGAATCATTATCTTTGATGAGAGGGAATCGTGGCCTCGGGGGCGCGGGCCTTTTGTCATTGGTGCCAGGGGCCATGGCTTCGGGGAGTGTGCGGGCCGTTCGAGCCCTGTGCAAAAAGGCAGGGGGGCGGGGGGGCGGTGCGCGCAACTCTCCGCGACCACGAGAGGGGGCGAGCACTGTCGCAGGCCCAGAGGTTGACACCAACACCAATATCGGCGGTGTGCCTCCACCGAAGGAAGAAGATCCCGATCTTGGCGATGGTGGTAATATCCTGACTTCCAAGGTGACCGAAATATTGCCACCAGTACCGAAATCTAGAATCATCTTCCCCCTGTGGAGGCAGCCCCCTTGTGTTGGTGCTGGTGCCCACTTCCAGGCCTCCGACACTGGGCACTCCACCGCGCGCCAGCGTGCCAAGGGGGGCGCGGTGGCGCACTGCGCGCCGCCGCCTGCGCAGCGAGGGCCCGGGCGGCGCCTGCACGTGGGCCGTGCGCGGGTGCCTTTTCTCGCGGCCCCCGCTCGACGAGGCCTGGTCGCCTCCGCCGCGCGCCGCCCGTGGAGCAGCGGGCGCGGCGCGTCAGCGGAGTCTCCCCGAGGACTCCGTGAGTTTCGGACTTTTCACGGCCCCAGCCCCCCCCCCTTTCCCTCTCGTTGCCTCCTCCCTCCCCCCTCTATTTTCGGGCCCTTCCCCACGTCGTAGGCCTGGCCCTGACTGGCTTGGCGCCCTCCTTCCTCCTCTCTTCTCTTTCCCCATATTCCACTGCCCTGATGCATGAACACTGGGCGTTTACGTAAGACCAGGGGGCCAAATTACCTTATTTTTGTTTGTTTGTTTGTTTGTTTGTCTGTCTGTCTGTTTGTTTGTTTGTTTGTTTGTTTGTTTGTTTGTTTGTTTGTTTGTTTGTTTGTTTGTTGGTTTATTTTTTGTTTTTTCGTCTTGTTCTTATTCTACTTATTAGTATTGCTATTATTTTCTTTCTTTCTTCTATTCCTCGAAATCCACAGGGCATCTGCAAGTCGTAGTTGAGGCGGTGCGGACGACCAATCCAGTTAAACGGAGCAGCCGAGACAGGACAGGCCTGGCCATGTCCCAACTGTACGCCTGGCCATCCCATCGTCGGGACGGGGACGATGACAAAGGGTGGTGGATATCATGGCCAGGTCCATCATGCCTCCCAGATCTGACTGCTCCTTCTTTTTTACTTGCATTGCATCTCCCGGCCCCCCCCTGGGCCGCGCACGCGCCTTGGGCCATGATCTGCGAACCCCCTCCCTGTACCGCCCCCGTGTTGGACGCCCCCGACAGCGAAGCCCCTGCGCAGACCTGTTCGAGCCCGCGGCTTGGAGGAGAGCGCCGAGCGCCAGTGGCCCGAGCGACTCGGCGCGGGCGGGCTCCTGCACGACCACCCCAGCGAAGCTTCTGCGCCGACTTGCCCGCGCCTCCGAACGCTTATTTTTGGGAGCAGTCGCTCTTCATCCAGCATCGGGGGGCGTCAGCTGTCCACCTCTCCGATCCTGGCCTTGCCGGGATCGGTGAGGTGGTCGGCTTCGCGTGAAACTGACCCTATGCCAGGGTGACCTGTGCTGCGGGCCCGCAGGGATCCCCCCGGCACCGCCCTGCGCGCCTGGACCTGACCCCTCCGCCGCCTCCCGAAGCCGCGCACGAGAGGCCACCCTTGCCAAGTGCCAGCTCTTGCGTGCAGGCGCACTTGTCCGAGCCCCCTCGCTCGGATGGGAGAGCCGAGGGCCAGTGGCCCGAACGACTCGGCCCGCGCGGGGCCACGCCGCTCACGACGGCCTGCACGGTTTCCCTGGGGGCCGTAGGCGACCCGAGGAGGAGGAGGAGGAGGAGGAGGAGGAGGAGGAGGAGGAGGAGGAGGAGGAGGAGGAGGAGGAGGAGGAGGAGGAGGAGGAGGAGGAGGAGGAGGAGGAGGAGGGAGGAGGACGGGTCGCCCAGGCCCTTCAGGGCGACCCTCCAGGACGGCCACGCCGCCGCGCACCGCCGGCGCCCGGCACGCCGCCGCGGCCAGGCCGGGGCCCCGGTCGGCGACGCCGCCGCGGGCGGCCACGCCGCTCGGGGCGGCCGCGCAGCGTCGGGCGCCAACGCCGCCCGCGGCGGCCGCGCCGCCCAGGGCGCGGACGCCGCCCGCGGAAGCGTCGCGCTCGTCCAGGGCGGCCCCGAGGCGCAGAGGAGGGAGGGGTACCTTACTGATCCGAAGAAGGGATCGGTTCCAGGATTGGCTTGCCCCGGGATTGATTTTTCTCGTCGAGTCCAGGGGAAATGCGTAGAGTTTCAGTAGATCTACGAAGCGGAAACCTCTCCGTTGTATATATATATATATATATATATATATGATAGTGTATAATATATATATAGTTTGTAGTATATAGTATAGTATAGTATCGTGTAGTATATTATAGTATCGTATAGTATAGTATAGTATAGTATAGTATAGTATAGTATAATATAGTATAGTATATATACATAAACATATACATATACATATACATATACATATACATATACATATATATATATATACACACATATATATATATATATATATATATATATATATATATATATTCGACGTGAACATGTATCATGGCGCCAACATCGCAGAGCTGCTTTCGTTCGGAAACAAATGAGATGGGCCCGGAGTGTCCAGGAGCATTTCGTTCCGGATTTCGAGGTGGATTTGGTGCGGATTGTTTCTAGCCAGGAATGAAGACTAAATACATCCACGCGAATTTCACGTCATTTTTTGCTCGTCGTTTCGGGGTCTTGCATTAAGAGAAATCCACTCAGAAATCCGCTGCAGCACGTCTGCAAGGTCGGTGCAGTGATATTTACTGCTTCGAAGCAGGGATCGATTCCAGAATTGGCTTGCCCCAGAATTATTTGTTTCGTAGAATCCATTGACAGAAGACGTAGAGTTTTGATAGATCTGCGAAGCTGATACCTATCCGTCTATAGATTCGACGTGGACAGTTATTTTGGTGTACATCAATTCTGTAGTCGATCCCCTACTCGACCGATGCCGCCATCCCTGCCTAGCTCTCGCCTTCCGGGGCGATCCCGGGACGCCCTCGTCGCCACCGCCGGCTTCGCCTCGAGGTCCTTTTCGGAGCGCACCCCCAGGGCAAGGTCCGGGGAGCAGCGGTATCGATATCCGGACATCCGATGTCGCGAGTTTCTCCATGCATGCGGCGTCCCCAGAGGCCAGGACTTTTTTTTTTTTTTTTTTGTTTTTTTTTTTTTTTTCCCCCCCCCCCCTCGGGGCCGGCTCTTCCTCCCGAGCCGTTTCTCGACGGCCCTGGGGCCCGGCGAGGGCCTCTGGAGGACGAAAGCCGCGAGGAGAACATCCGCCTCGAGCCTCTCGAGGCGCAGGAGGTCTGCCAGAGCCCCGCGTCATCAGGGGTGACTCGGGCCAGGGCCAGCTCGGGTTCGTTGTTCAAGAATCCAAGCCCGAGCCGCCCCGGGCCCGAGCCGCCCCGGAGAACCCGGGCACCCAGCGGAGGAGAGGCCAGCCGTGCAGGCCCGCGCTCGAGCCAAGAGCGGCGTCTCGGCGGTGCCCTGGGCCGTCTTCGTCCCGGCCCCGCTGCGCGGCAGGGGGAGATCACTCGGGCGCCCGAGTCTGGGCCTCTCGTTGCCTCCCCAGCGAGGCCTCGCTCCGCCACGCCGCCCGCGGGCGCGCCGGCGCCGCCGCGGGCCGCCGAGGGCCGCCCGGCCGCGGCCGCGGCGCCGAGGGCGGCCGCGGCGCCGCGGGCGGCGGCCGCCACGCCGCCCAGGGCGCGGGCGCCGCCCCCACGGGGGGCGGCTGAGCCGCCGAGCAGGCCTCGGCGGCGAGCAGGGGCGGGGGGGCGAGAAGGAGGAGGCCTTCTCGGAAGGCGGCGGGACTCCTCAGGAGCCCTCGCGCCCTCCGTGGGAGGCCGTCGGCGTGCTGAGAGGTTTTCTCGGTGCCCTCGGGGCAGGCTCCGAGGACTTCTCGGGAGGCCAGGGGACGTCCGAGCCTTCGGAGAGGGCCCGCCCTCGCTGCCACCCCCCCGGGCGCGCCACCCGAGGTCGGGCACGCCGCCGCGGGCCAGCGGCGCGGCCCGGGCGGGCGTGGGGGCGCCCGAGCTGGCCTCCAAGAGGGCGCCGAGGGCGGCCCGCGGCGTGCACAAAGAGGTGTTTTTTTCCGTCGGGGCGACGAGGTCTGTGCACGTTTCTGCGTCGGCGGCTGGGCAGGAGGTGGCTGCTCTGGCGGAAGGGCAACATGGGGACACGCTGTCTGCAAGTGGAGGCCGCAAGGCACGGAGGAGGAGGAGGAGGAGGAGAGCCCGGCGCGGCATGGGGGAGAGGAAGCCGGGCCACCGAGAGCTGCCGAGCGCGATCTGTGCACATGTGCACCTGCTCTCTGGCCACGCCCCATCCGGAGCCCGGCAGCCGTGTGATGCGCCATGCCCTCCTGGCTTGGCCAGGGGGGCGTGCGCACGGCTGCCGTGTCCAGGATGGGCCTGGCCAGGGAGCAGTGGATACGTGTGGATCTCGTCGCCCGAGGTTTTCGGTAGCAGATCATGGGGGCCTGGTGTGTCCTTGTAGCTCATTCTGGGGTGCGTTAGCGTGTGCTACAGTGAACCCGCATAGTAAGGATGATCAACTCTCCAAGGGTATCCTTGCATGCTTTCCCTTTGGCCCGTCCTTGGCTGCTTTCGCTGGCCGCGCCCCCCTCGCAAAGTGTCGTCATGGCCTTCCAAGGCCCTTGCGTCCTTATCGTGCGTCTTTATTATACGGGTTGAGTGTAGCGCCTGGTAGTCGATGAGGAAGCGTTGATGTAACATCGATGTGCGTCGATTCGCGTCGATTTAGCGTCGGTCAGGGTCGAGTAGCCTGGATTCGCAAGAGCCAAACAATTGGTATGGTAGGTTTCCATGATCAGTGGCCGCAGGAGGGGTTCTCGAGCGGCGAACATACGGTCGGCAACTTTTGGTCAGCGTGTTGCTCCGCTGGCTCTGGCCCACTTCGCCTTGGCGCGACGCGCCATCCACATCCGGGTCCCCAGGCGTCAACCCCGAGCTTCTCCCGTCCGTGCCGCGGAGCGGGGCGACAGGCTATCCACTCGCAGGGCATGGCGTGTCGCTGGAGCCGCCGCGGCGCTACGCAGAGCAGAAGTTCCCGACCGCATCCGTATCCCTCGCCCTCGGGGTCTGGCTTCGTCACTGCGATCCCGAGGATGCGCGGTTGCACGGATAAATTCCGCGCGGGGCGTCCGCGAGCAAACGCCCCGCACTCGGGCGGTCTGATACGGATTTGTGTTTTTTCGCCCGCAGACGGTGCCCTGAGTTCTGGGCGTGGCATTTTCCCCAATAGCGCTTCGTTAGAGGGCTTTCTTACAAGTAAGAGATCGGCGGCGAGCGAGGGGGGGGAAAATGAGAAGGATAAGACTTCTCAGCTGGCGGCGGGACTTTTCAGAAGCCCTCGCGCCTTCTGAGAGGTTTTCTGTGTCTTCGGGGAAGGCTTAGAAAACTCCCTAGGAGGTCGGGGGCTTTCCGAGCCTTCTTTGAGAAGGCCTTGCCCTTCTCACTTCCCTCTCTCTCGCTCGCCGCCAATGTCTGCAGAAATCGCCATCGCGCCTCGGTGCCAGCTGCTTTTTTGGGCCGGGACGGTCACGATCTTGTAAAGAGGCAGATCAAGGTGCACGCGGCCCCTTGTCACTGGCCAACCGCGGGCGTTTTCGCCCCGCTCTGGGCGCTGGGGCCCTCAGGGATCGGCCGAGCTCGCACAGTGCAGCAGGAAGTTGGGGTCCCAGGCTCCGGTCGTGATTTTTCCGCGATGTTCCGATTCTTCCCGCGTCGTCGGCTTTCAGGGTGGCGCTCGGGATTGGCCTTCTGAGAGGGCGGGGGGCCCTCTGAGAGGGCATCCCTGGCTCTCTGGGGGCCTTCCCTCAGGCCTCGGGCCCTTGTGAGGCCGGTGCCTTCTGAGAGGTTCCCCGCCTTCTTTAGAAGGCTGGCCCACTCATGCCACACCCCTTGTGCGCGCCGCTGAGGCGGACCAGGGCTGGGTGTCCGCCGGCACCGACATCTCGGGGGCTGCCAGAAATGGTTCCCTGGCCCAGGGTGCCCCCAGATGGTCGCTCCATCTTGGAGCTGCTCTGGATAGAGGAGGAGGGGGAGGAGGAGGAGGAGGAGGAGGAGGAGGAGGAGGAGGAGGAGGAGGAGGAGCAGGAGGAGGAGGAGGAGTAGGAGGAGAAGAGGCGGAGGAGGAGGAGGAGGAGGAGGCGGGGAGGAGGAGGAGGAGGAGGAGGAGGAGGAGGAGGAGGAGGAGGACCAGTGTTCACCTAAGAGTCATCAGCGATGTCGGAATAAACCCTGCCTCCAAACTTCCTCTTCATAGGCCCCTGCAACGGTTCATTTCCACTGAAGGACTTGCCTCGTTGGAAGACAACCGTTTCAATACCCTGAAGACTGCCAAAACATGATTCTCGGGACTCCAGCGTAACGGATCAACCTGACTGTTGTGTCTTGACGATCTTGACTCGCCAGAAGGCCATTCCTGTGACTTCATCACCACGAGTCACAGCAATTGTGGCGCCCTCACAACCCTGAGTCTTTCCAGGACGCCATTTCAGGTACGTTGATCACGGGAATCCGTGAAACTCTTGGAAATTCTGAAAACGAGTGTACAAGGCGCTAAGGCGAGAGCCACATTTTGAAAAGGAACCGCCTTCGATCCGTGAAGGTCTTGCAATTTTTTAACGAATGTGCGCGGTGCTAAGGCGAGAGTCACATTTTGAAAACCACCCGCCCTCAATCCGTGAAGCTCTCGCAAATTTTGAAAACGAATGTGCGTGGCGCCAAGGCGAGAGCCACATTTTGAATGACCCGCCCTTGATCCGTGGAAGTCTTGCACATTCGTACAACGAGCGTGCGCGGCGCTGAGGCGAGAGCCACATTTTGAAAACCACCCGCCTTCAGCCCGTGAAACTCTTGCACATTTTCACAACGAATGTGCGCGGTGCCAAGGCGAGAGCCACATTTTGAGAACGAC